GTTTCAGAGTAGTCTATGTTGGTAGAATATTTCCTTCCTTCTCTGTTCAGTTTATATGTTTATTTGGTATTCTCTCTCCACCCTACTACTATCTGTTCTGATGTCAAATCGTTGTTATATTTCAATGTTATCTCAATCTGGTTGGTTTGACTGATACTTTCTGTTTCAATATTTTGCACGAGAAGTAGAAGTTTGCATGGTAAGCTGTCTATGCCTATAATTATGAAGTATCTTTGATTCTTTCTTTACTTGCAGGATGGGCATGACTCTGAGAATTCAAAACAAAGTACTGCTGACATGACTGTTTTTGTAAGTTCTATAAGCTCTGTGAAGTTGCCAGATAACTTGTTCTTTGGTATTTATTTTTTTTATCTCAGTGGATTAGCTATGTATTTCTGCTCTATAATAGCATCTACTTAGTTGAATATGGCAATGGGGATGTTTAAGGATGAGATGCTGCAAGATAGATTTGGAATTGAAAGATCTCGCTCTCATTCTTAACTGCTTCTGCAAAGCATTACAGTGGTTTTGTCAGTATAAATATTCTATTATATACACCCAAGCACAAACGAAAGCGTACTTGGGAAGGCCAGTGACTGCAAGAGGGAAAAGCTAACATATTTGATTCACAGGATTTATGTGGATTCAATTTCTCTAGTGTCAGCGAAGCCTCTACAGGCTACTAGATATTATATAAATAATTGAATTTAAAGGGACTTATGCAGGATTAGAAAATTTCACAGGCTTAAATGTCCGTATTACATGAGATTCTGCTTTTTTGAATTTCGACATGATATACTTTTAATATGTTCTAACTTGTTATTTTACGTTTTCAGGTGCAAAACCTCCTCCAACAAATGGTGAGTTATTAGCATATCAAGTTGAATTCTGCATTACAGAACATTAACATACAAGTATTTTTATTTTTGCAGCAAACCAGGTTTCAGGCTATGTCTGAGTCCATCATCAGTAAAAATATCCTTTTAAAGCTCTTTTACTCTATATTGCATTCTTTTTTATAAATAATACCACTGTT